GCAGGGAGGTGACATTGGGCTCCTGGGCGGCCAACTGGCAGCCCTCGGCGCTCCAGCCCCCCATACCTCCCAGCACCTCGAAGTTCCAGTACGCGGCCACCGGGTCTGCGCCCTCCCCAGGGTGCCGCAGCGACACGGCCACCGGCTCCGACAGGTTTCCCACTCCGCAGCCATCTGCAGCAACAGAGAAAGGCGGTGAGCAGGGCAAGAGACACCCCTCTGCCTGCACCCCCAAAGGAGGCTGGCCACGGGGGACCCCCCACTGCAGCCCATAGGCACGTTGCCACCTCCCCATGAGGACCCCCAGGGATGGCTTTGCTCTGCAGGAGCACCAGGGCACACCCCAAGGAGCCCCATGGAGCCCCATGGAGCTCCATCCCCCAAGAAAAGCCCCACACAGGGCACCCCAAGGCCCCCGCCAACAGGCAGCCCTTACAGGTCCCAGCGTAGATGACCGGCGTGGCCACGCTGCGGCGCTTGCCATTGTCAGCCAGGCGGGAGGAGTTGCCCGTGCTGCAGAAGAGCTTGCCGTTGCGGAAGACCAGCACGGCGCGGCGCTTGCCATTGTCAGCCGGAGGAATTGGCTGCGGCGCTTGCCATTGTCAGCCAGGCGGGAGGAATTGCCCGTGCTGCAGAAGAGCTTGCCGTTGCGGAAGACCAGCAGCTGGAGCTTGCAGTCGGCCAGCGGCGCGGCCGGGACGGGGCTGGCGAAGAGGCTGGGCGGCAGCTGGATGGAGGCCAGGGCGATGCTGTTCTGCGGGCGCACGGTCGCCGGTGAGCAGGGGTAGCCCCCCCACCCGGCACCCCCCAGTCCTCTGGCTTACCCGTACCTTGATGTGGAAGCTGGTCAGGGAGACGTTGGGGCGCCCCGTGGTGCAGCGCAGCCTCAGCTGCTGGTCGGGCACGGGCTCGGCCCCCCGCTCAGCCGGGGGGGGACGCCCGGCTGGACTCCCGTCCCGCCGCTGGAAAGCCACGCAGCTCAGCCCCACGTAGCTCTCGGGCTTCACCACGTATGCCTCGAAGGCGATGTTGCGTGAGTTCTGCCAGGCACAGCGCCACAGGGCAGCCATCAGCCCCGGCACGGCCAGAGACCCCCCCCTGGCATGGCCAGAGAACCCCCAGCATGGGCAGAGACCCCCTGGCACGGGCGGAGACCCCGCATCAGCAGCTCAACGACCTCTTCCTCCCCCCTCAGCCCCCTATCTCCAGGCAGCCCCCCCTTTGCCCCCCACTCACCACCGCCATGTGCTGGGAGTTGCTGCTGAGTGTGTGGGCGGCGATCTTCTCCAGGGAGCGGACGATGCTGGTGCAAGCCTTCTCCTCCTTCTGCGACATCCACAGGATGTGGTCATCCACCAGCATGATGTTGCTGGCCATCTCCACGATCACGTCCGTCAGCTGCGAGGACAGCAAGCGGCTCTGCAAAGAGCTACTGCCATCCCCAAGCGGCAAACACCCCAATTCATGCTCTTCCACCCCAAAAATAACTGGCAGGGCTGGGACAAGCAGGGGACAGGAGAAGCGCTCCTTACCTGCTTGATCTGGTCCACGTAGCCAATAAACTTCTCTATCATCTGGGCCACGTAGAGGACATCAACCATGTCCGAGAAGTTGGCCGCCTCGGCCGTGTAGACACGGAGCTGGTGAGCCAGGGTCAGGGCGTTGGAGGCGTTGATGGGCATCTGCAGAGCGGCACGGCCGCGGGGGGATGGTCACCGGCTGCGCC